ACGCACTATCTCAAAACCAAATTTCGGGTGATAACTCCAAATTCTGAACTACCGCTCACATGAACTTGAAATTTCGTATAGACACTCTCCGAACATGATAATATCAGTAATATAGGAGTTTCACCCGTTTTACGTGGAGTGGCGTAAAACTCGGTGGTGAAGAACGCGGTCGTGAAATATGTTTTTCACAAGTGTTTTTCATATCACTAGGATGAAACTCCAATATACAACGGACTCAATTTTCAAAAAAAAGTCTTACATGCTGATGACATCATCTTTCACTTCTTTCCCGATAGCCGCCGCGGTCTCGCATGCCGCCTTTGCATCAACCTTCCCCTCTGCATCGTACCCAGGCGTGAACAGTTTACCCTGATCGAACACAGACGATTATACATGGGCGAAAAATTCCGTGAGTGAATATTTCACTATATCGCTACCCACCTCAATGTCCTCTAGACACTCCGCCTTGAGATCTTCCAACAAGCGATCTTTATGATTCAACAGCTCGTCGACCTAAGATTCAAAATAGGCCCAATCGGAGCCCATCCTCAAAACGCCTTCGCACATGGTCAACTACATGTGTTGGTGACAATATGAAAATTCTGTGGAATTTTCGGGAAAATTTCCATTGGTTTCCACCCCAACTCCTATAATTAGTGATGGAACTCCTAAGCTGAGCTGATGTAAGCCAACATATATTCCCTCCAACACTGTTATACACATTGAGGAATGCATAGCCGTGGTTAATTTAATCAATTCATATTCAGCTTTGGAAACTCCTGAGCTGAGGGAAGCGAACATATACTCCCCTTCCTCCAACACTGCACCTGTGGTAGTAGCGGCCGCAACGGCTCGAACATCTCCGACAACTCCACTATTGCCAACACCAGGGGCGTACACTAAAAAAATGTCCCTCCCAGGATTCGAACCAGGGACCTTTCGGTTACCTGCGCGAAGCGTTTCTCCGCCGCGAACGCGGTGAGCTGTTCCGTCGCACTAACCAACATAACCAATCGCTTCAATGCCGTCACCGTCGCTGTGATGTGCCTCTTCGCGACATCCAGAGCCGCGATGTCACCCGACACCGACTGCACCAACTCTTCCGACTCCTTAGCTCGGGTGTGGATCGACCCTATCTTACCTAAAGTGTCGTATGGCACCTGTCAGCTCAGTGGGGGGGAGGAGGAAAACATGCACATGGTCAACTACATGTGTACAATTCTTGCAAATTCGTGTTGGTTTCTGTACATTTCTACCCTCCTCCTTTAATAAGTGAGGAACTCCTGAGCTCAGCTGTGAAACCAATTGGAGTTTCACCCTAGTGATATGAAAAACATATTTCACGACTACTGCATATCACCGCGAATATCGCGTTTTTCACCGACTTTCACGCCACTTCACGTAAGACAGGGTGAAACTACATTATTAATATTTCAACACTGATCATATACGTCTCCATTTTCTTATCCTCATTTCTAGGTTCAATCCCGGGGTCGGACACATACAAAAAATGCGATTTATTTTTTTTTCTGAAAATCGATTACGGACAGGTTTAGCGCAATATAACTATGCGAAATAACCTCACATTCAAAAGTCGTTCTCTAGGAAAAGTTACTTCTGCACACGTGTCTTCGGGGAAGCGCATACGGTACAGGCTCCTCCCCAAAATGTCCCCTCAAGTTCAATCTCGAAAAGCGTCATTCACCAAAACAAGAAATATATATTCACTTTCCTTAGCTGAGTTCATGAGTTTCCTCAGAAGTGTACAGAAATCAACAACAATTTACCAAAATTTCCTCATCGTCACCAACACATGCACTTGACCATATGCATATTTTCCCAAAACTTACTATTGAGTTCTGCTATTCCTTCCGTAGCATTTTTCAACGCCTTTTCCGCGTCACCATCAACAACCCTTTGTGCGTAGTCCCGAACGCCCCGGTCTATCTGCTCGTCCAATCCAGCTATCTCTGACTCGATGCTTGCCAACCTACATCGACAGGCACCACATGGGCACGAAAAGAATCTTGCCATATATATTTTTTCCGCCGAACGTGTCACCATCACATTCCTCGTTGAGATGAAATCAGTGCTAGAGACTATGTCTCATAGTATGTGTTCGCTTCCCTCAGGTGAGCTCAAGAATTTCCTTACTATTCACACACGGGCTTAGGTAAATGTGAGAGGTGAACGCCGAGGAGAATTTCCCAATACTTCCTCAGAGTTTTCATAGT